TACTCAGGAGGCTGAGGCAGGAGAATTGCCTGAACCCAGGAGGCGGAGGTTGCGGTGAGCCAAGATCGCGCCATTGCACTCCAGCCTGGGTAACAAGGCGAAACTCCGTCTCAAAAAAAGAAAAAAAAAAAAAAATAATAATAATATAGGCCAGGTGTGGTGGCTCACACCTGTAAGCCCAGCTCTTTGGTAGGCCGAGGGGCTGAGGCGGGAGGATTGCTTGAGCTCAGGAGTTCAAGATCAGCCTGGGCAACATGGTGAAACCCGTCACTATAAAAATACAAAAAATTACCTGGGTGTGGTATCATGCGCCTGTAGTCCCAACTACTTGGGAGGCTGAGATGGGAAGATCACCCATGCCAGGGAGGTAGAGGCTGCAGTAAGCCAAGATCACCCACTGCACTCCAGCTTGGGCAATAAAGTGAAACCCTATCTCAAAAGAAAAACCCAATAATATAAATAAGAGCCATGTTTTTTCATCCGGCATGATAGAAGCAGTGCCCAGAGCTTATAAGCTTTTCAATGGTCCACAAACAACCCCCCCCGCAAAAAAGAAAGTTGTTAGCTCCAGAATACCAGATGAAAGCTGCCAAATCAACATTCATGACCATTTAATTCAATGTCCATAAAACGGAACGTTCTTTCCACTAGCCAAAGGCAGTTTACTTTCTTGTAATCAAGTATACATTGTATCTTCAATGTGGGATGCGGCTTTGTTCTAATATGTATGCGATGATGAAGGGTGGGGTGCAGCCTTGGAAAGCAAGAGTGCTCAGCCTACATCTTAAAATTCTCCTGCCCACCCCTTGGATTCTGTCTCCACTGGGACTCAGGAGGTGAGGAGAGAACATCTCCCCAAATGCACTGAAGGGGACCTGGAGGAGGGAGGGAGGGAGGGACAGGCAATCCTAACAGCCGAGCTGCATTTGCTGAGCCCCCCTGCAGTCTGCTCTTTCCAAATGGACCCTCCTGGAGGCCTGATCCCAACTTCCCCTGCAATCTTGCACAGGTCTGTCACCCCCATCTCTCAGATGAAGAAACTGAGCCTCGCAGGGGTGGAGTCCCTTGTCCCCACGTCATAAGGGTAGTCATAGTGGTAGGAAGGGGAAGCACCTAGGTTGGAGGCCAGGGCTGGCTGCCGTCAGAATCTAGGCCCTCCCCTGCCTTGCTCCACATCTGGTTAGGAGAGAGAGGGGAGGAATGCCAAGGGAAGGGACCTGGGTGAGAACAGACAAGCTGGGAGAAGCAGGAGTCCGCGCACGGGGTTTGCAGATGCAGAGGTTGAGGTGGCTGCAGGACGGGAAGTCATCAGGCAGAGGTCTCGCAGCAGCCAGTAAGTGAACAGCCAGACTGGGAGGCAGGGAGAAGGGGGCAGGGGAAGGGTCAGCCGAGAAGCCCTGGGGTGGGGCGCAGCCGAGGACTCTGTTCCCTTTCCTGAACTCGGCTTCCACAGGCCCTGACCTGCCTCCCCCACCCTCCTCGGTCCTGCCCCTGTGCCTGGCAGCAGCCCCACCTCTGTGACACCCCAGCATCCCCACCTTGCAAAGGAGAAGGGAGCAGCCTAGGGGAGGCCAGGGGCCCACCTGGGCTGGGGCTGTGGAGAGGGAGTGGCTGGGACAGAAGGAAAGAGAGAGACGGAGATTAGATGGAGGGAGAGAGATTTTGAGACATTGCAAGACAGAGGTGCAGTCAGAGACTGAGAGACACAGAGATAGAAGGAATTAGAGAAAGGGCCACCCAGAGCCGGCTGGAGAGAGAAGTATGGAGGTGAAGACGGGGACAAGGACAGAGAACGGCAGACAGACACGTAGAGACAGAAAGAGAAAAATCACACATGCATGCAAAGTCAGAATTACCAAATGACGGGGAATGACCCATGGGGCGAGACGCAGATTCAGAGACTCAGGGCAGGGAAAGGAAGGTTGCAGACGACAGACAGACAGACAGAGGGACGCTGAGACGCAGGGAGAAGAGGGGCTTGCAGAGGTGGCACAGGCAGGCAGGCAGTGCCTCGGAGGCCTTCGGGGAGGGCCGACACACACCCCACCCCGGGGCATTAAGGCAGGGCTTGGAGGCCAGTCATCCTGGGCCCGCCCGGGGCCACCCCCTGCCTGCCCGCCTGCCTGGTGCCTGGCACCTGGCACTCCAACCCAACCGACCTGCCGCAACCGCCGCCGCCACCGCCGGGCCCCCAGAGCCCCAGCCCCAGATCCCGTGAGTCCAGGAGGAAAGGGAAGCCCCCACTCCAGGTGTCAGCCCTCCCCAAGGACACCTGTCCCCCTCGGGCACCCATTTCTCCCTCTGCTCTGTCCTTCTCTGCTTGGGTGGGGGTTCCTAGCCTCTCTCTGTGCCTCTCACCTTCAATGGCTGACCACAGCGTCGGCTACCTCTGATCTCTATGGCTTCAGCTGCTGAGCCGGCCCTCTGCTCCCACCCCCGCTGGACAGGGCAGCTGAGGGCACTGGCCCTCCCCTCGACCAGCCCCGCCCAGCTCTGCTTGGCTGTCCTTCAAAGGGGCAGGGGTTCAGCAAGTCGGGTGACGGGAGGCCCAGACATTGTCTGGGGCTGAGTTCCCTACCCGCACCCCCACCCCCACCACCAGCAGACCTCAAAGGCTCCATATCACACTGCCGTGAAGACAATGAAAAAGGGGTGGCTATGGAACGGGGCCTGGTTCCCCTGTCCTTCCAGCCCGAGCTGCTGGGGCCTGGCCAGCTCTCAAGGCAAGAAGGGAAACATCCTCTGAAATGCGCCAAGGAGGCCCCACGGCTGACTCGAATGGGGCCAGCCCACGGCTAGCCGGGTCAAAGCCCCCCCAACAACCTCCATGTGGTCCTTGGTATCCCAGCAGCTTCGAGCTGCGACCAGGCCCCCTCCAAGGCCACCCTCGACACCTGAGATATATTTTAAGTGTTTGGATGTCTGAGTGCTGTGAGAAACAGGGAGTTTCCCCAACCTTGTTTCTCCCAAGTGGGATGCAGGAGCAGGTGCGGGAGAAAGGAGCGGGCAGGAGCCAGCCCCCGACTTCCCCATCAAGTGATGCGGCCATGTTCCTCCTTGTTCCCAGAGGAACCTGGGGCCTGCCCCTCCCCCCTCCAGGCCATGAGGATTCTGCAGTTAATCATGCTTGCTCTGGTGACAGGTACGGCAGGGAATGGGGCAGGGCAGGAGCCTCCCTCTTGAGTCTCTGGGATCCCCTAACCCTCTGTGTCTGGACGGTGACGGGCCGATTCCAAATCACAGAACAAGCCACACGACCTCTGAACTAGGGGCAGCTGCCATGAGGGCCTGCATGCCTTTCAGACAATCCCTTTAAACGCCAAAAGAGCAGAGGCCAAGGGGGTCCTAGGGGGTCCCAGGGCAGGGCCGGGGAAACTGGAGTCGGCGGGAGTGTCACTCAAATCGAACAGGACAGGGACTACCGACGAACCGGTATGGAAGTTTGTTTTTGTTGTTTTCCAGAGACAAGGTCTCACTCTACGTCCAGGCTGGAGAGCAGTGGGGCCATCACGGGCTTAAGGAATCCTTAAGCCATTTCAGCCTCCCTGGTAGCTGGGACCACAGGCACCTGCCACCAAGCTAGACTAATTGTTTAATTTTTTTGTAGAGATGGGGATCTCACTATGTTTGCCCAGGCTGGTCTTGAACTCCTGGGCTCAAGCAATCCTCCCACCTTAGCCTCCCAAAGTGCTGGGTTTACCAGCGTGAGCCACTATGCCCGGCCCTATGGAAGTATTTTCATCCTTTAACACCCCACCCCAGCATCCAGCGTGCAAACCAGAGGGACACCAGGCGAGGGCCCAGACCACCCCCTCCTTCTCTCCTCCCCACCCCATTTCTGGGAGTCCACCTCTCCTTCCTGAGCGCCTCCTTTTGCTCTCCCCCTCCAGGGCTCGTAGCGGGAGAAACCAGGATCATCAAGGGATTTGAATGCAAACCTCACTCCCAGCCCTGGCAGGCAGCCCTGTTTGAGAAGACACGGCTGCTCTGTGGGGCGACCCTCATCGCCCCCAGATGGCTCCTGACAGCAGCCCACTGCCGCAAGCCGTGGGTGCGGGGGCTGGGGCGGGGCCGGGAGGGGGCTGGGAATGCAGAGATGGATGGAGAGGAGCTGGGGAGAGGGGTGCGGGAAGGGGATCAGAGATGGGACGGGCACTGTCAGCAAGGTTGGTGGGCTCGAGCTGGGATTGAAGGTGGGGGGATGAATGGGGTTGGGGTGGTCCCCCTATGGCTGGGGGACATGGAAGAGGCTGGAAGTAAGAGCGATGTTTCTTCACCCTCAAATGTGTCACTCACCTCTCCCGCCCACGTCTCCCCCCCCACCCCGTGTCTTTTCCCACCTTTCCTCCTCCAACCACGGTCTCTCCCACCTCAGCCGCTACATAGTTCACTTGGGGGAGCACAACCTCCAGCGGCGGGACGGCTGTGAGCAGACCCGGACAGCCACCGAGTCCTTCCCGCACCCCGGCTTCAACAACAGCCTCCCCAACAAAGACCACCGCAATGACATCATGCTGGTGAAGATGGCCTCGCCAGCCTTCATCACCTGGGCTGTGCGACCTCTCACCCTCTCCTCGCGCTGTGTCACCGCTGGTACCAGCTGCCTCATTTCCGGCTGGGGCAGCACATCCAGCCCCCAGTGTAGGAGCTCCAGAGGGGGAACCCGGCCCGGGGTGGTGGGGAAGGGGTGGTCTTCATTGTGGAAGGGGTCGGGGGACCAGATATGTGGTTCAAAGTGGCGATGGTGGGATAAGTTGAGGGGATGCGTGGAAAACGTCAGGACGGGGGAGGGTGGAGACAAAAGTTGGGGCCTTGGAGTCAGACACATGACTCCCGGCTGTAGGAACCTGGGCAAGCGACTTCACCTCTCTGAATCTTGATTTTCTCCTCTATAAAATGAGAATCATTATACCCACCTGCCAGGATTGGATTAGAGATAATGTATATCGAGCAGCTGGCATAAATAATGTATTGGATAGCAGGCTGGGTGCAGTGGCTCACGCCTGTAATCTCAGCACTTTGGGAAGCTGAGGGGGGTGGATCCCTTGAGGTCAGGAGTTTGAGACCATCCTGCCCAACATGGGGAAACTCCGTCTCTACTAAAAATACAAAAGTTAGCCGGACATGGTGGTGCACACCTACAATCCCAGCTACTCGGGAGGCCAAGGCAGGAGAATTGCTTAAACCTGGGAGGCGGAGGTTACTGAGTGGAGATCATGCCACTGCAATCCAGCCTGGGCAGCAGAGTGAGGCTCTGTCTGGATAGCATTGCTGTTGCTATTGATACAAGCAGAGAGGTGAGTTGGCTGTGTCTAAGGACAGGGATTCTCCCAGGGCCTGGGTCACAGCAAGCACTGCATTAGGTGAGGTGGCAGGGGTCCTCACACTGTCACCCCGCAGCCCCTCATGCTGTTTCCACAGTGCGCCTGCCTCACAGCTTGCGATGCGCCAACATCACTATCATCGAGCACCGCGAGTGTGAGCACGCCTACCCCAACAACATCACAGACACCATGGTGTGTGCCAGCGTTCAGGAAGGGGGCAAGGACTCCTGCCAGGTCAGAGGGCAGGGCCTGGGTCTCCAGCCACATCCCCACCCCCATCCCCAACTCTGAGTACATCTTCACTGACATCCACAATCTCACCCCTGACCTCAGCCCACCTCCCCTGCAACCCCCAATCCATCTCTCTCCCCGTTCTCGTTTCTGACCCAGCACAAACTTCAGCTCCATCCCTGTTTCCATCCCGTTTCCAGCTCCAACTGTCCCCAAATTCGCTTTTGAGCCTAACCCCATCATTTACCCCACCCATAATCCCAGCCTTATCCAGTAACCTATCATCAACCCCAGGTCTCCCCCTCCTCAGTCTCAACTCCACTCCCAGCACCATCCCCACCTCCTCCCTGGCCAACACCACGCCCAGCACTTTCTCTGACCGATGTTCTCTCTCCCCACGCGCAGGGTGACTCCGGGGGCCCTCTGGTCTGTAACCACTCTCTCCAAGGCATTATCTCCTGGGGCCAGGATCCGTGTGCGATCACTCGAAAGCCTGGTGTCTACACCAAAGTCTGCAAGTATGTGGATTGGATCCACGAGACAATGAGCAACAACTAGACTGGACCACGGCCCAGCATCAACCATGTCCACTTGGTGATTGGCTCCTGTTCACTCTGCTAATAAGAAACCCTAAGCCAAGACCCTCTGTGAACACTCTCTGGGTCTCCTATACTACAGGAGACGCTGTCACTTAATAATCAGCCTGGGGTTTGAGATCAGTGAGACCTGGATTCAAATTCTGCCGTGAACTATTGTGACTCTGGGGTTGATAACAGCTGGTTTGTTCCCTATTGTGTCCCCAGTCCCAAAGACAGCTCTTGGCGTAAATCAAGGTTTCAATAAACATTCCTAAATGAGTGAATCTACAGAGTGCTTACTATGTGCTAGACCCCGATCCAAGGGCTTTTATTTTATTTTAGATAGTCTTGCTCTGTCGCCCAGGCTGGAATGCAGTGGTGCCATCTCAGCTCACTGCAACCTCCCCCTCCTGGGTTCAAGCGATTCTCCTGCCTCAGCCTCCTGAGTAGCTGGGATTACAGTTGCCTGCCACCACACCTGGCTAATTTTTATATTTTTTAGTAGAGACGGGGCTTCATCATGTCAGCCAGGCTGGTCTCAAACTCCTGACCTCAGGTGATCTGCCCACCTCGGCCTCCCAAGGTGCTAGGATTACAGGTGTGAGCCACTGTGCCTGACTGGCTTTTCTTTATTAATTTAATTAATTCATCTATGAGACAGTCTTCCTCCGTTGCCCAGGCTGGCGTGCAGTAACACAATCATAGCTCACGGCAACCTCAATTTCTGGGGCTTAAGTGATCGTTCTGCTCCAGACTAGCTGGGACTACAGGCACATGAGACAAAGCCCAGCTAAGTTTTGTATTTTTTGTCAAGATGGAGTCTCACTCTGTTGCCCAGGCTAGTCTCAAACTCCTGGGCTAAGCAATCTGTCCTCAGCCTCCAAAAGTGCTGGAATTACAGGCCTAAGCCACTGTGCCTGGCCTCCAAGCGCTTTTAAATGGATCAACTAATGTAATCCTCATAAAACCCTATGAGGTCGGCACCGTTATCCTATTTTATAGATGAAAAAACGGAGACATAGAAAAACGAAGTCAGTTACTCACGGTCACGAAGCGAGGAGAGCAAGGATTTGAAGCAAGGTGGTCTCTTAACTACCACGTGAGATCCTCGAGGAAGGCTGTTTGTCTCCGTATCTGTAAAACTGTGTATGCAAAAGTATGATAACACAGTAAGTAAAGGAGTCAGTCAGCCTGCACATTCTAAGACCCAGCAAAAGGAGCTCGTCATTGTTTTTTTCCAACTTCCTTGATAGATAATTAGGTGGTGGAGACCTCTGCTGGCCAATATGGTAGGTAGCCACTAACCACACGTGGCTCTTACAATTAAAATTACATAAAGCCAGCCAGGTGTGGTAGCTCACGCCTGTAATTCTAGCAATTTGGGAGGCTGAGGTGGGTGGATCACGAGGTCAGGAGTTTGAGACCAGCTTTGACAACATACTGAAACCCCCCTCTCTACTAAAAATACAAAAAATTAGCTGGATGTGGTGGCGGGCACCTGTAATCCCAGCTACTTGGGAGGCTAAGGCAGGAGACTCACTTGAATCTGGGAGGTGGAGGTTGCAGTGAGCCGAGATCATGCCACTGCACTCCAGCCTGGGCAACAGGGCGGGAATCCATAAAAAATAATAATAAATAATAAATAAAAATAATATATATATTTATTATATATATATATTTATATATATATTATATATATAAATAATATATATATAAGTAAATATAAATAATATTTATATATATATAAATAATATATTATATATAAATAATATATATTATTTATATATATGTATTTCCGATATATATATATATAAAGTCAGAAATGTAACTCCTCCACCTTGTGACATATCCAAGACTGGATAGCCACGTGGCAGGATTAGTTAGCGCATATAAAACAACACCTCAGAAAGTTCAGATGGCCAGCACTGAGTCACACAACCTATGAAGAGGATGTCCAACAGAAATCCAGAACTCAGGACCTTTTGTTTTTTTTTTTTTTTTTTTTTTTTTTTTGATGGAGTCTTGCTCTTTCACCGAGGCTGGAGTGCTGTGGTGCAATCTCGGCTCACTGCAACTTCTGCCTCCCAGGTTCAAGCAATTTTCCTGCCTCAGCCTCCCTAGTAGCTACAATTATAGGCCTGCACCACCATGCCTGAGTAATTGTATTTTTAGTAGAGACAGGGTTTCACTATGTTGGCCAGGCTGGTCTTGAACTCCTGACCTCATGCCTCCCAAAGTGCTGGGATTACAGGCATGAGCCACAGCACCCAGCCAATTCAGGATCTCCTGGCACGGTCTCTCACCTTGAAGGAGAGGGGCTGGCAGGAGGAACAGGAGCCCAGAGTGGAAACAGGGCCTTCTGGTTGTTAAGTGGACTTGCTGTGTGGCCTCCTGTGAGTCACTGCCCTTTCTGAACCTCCCATTCCTCACCTGAGATGAGGGAGTTGGCTGAGGCGATGCTGATGCCCCTCGACGCTTTGACCTCCTGTGATTCAGGGACGTGTGTGTCACCTGGTGGCATGCAGATGGCAGGGAGGGTGTGAGGTGGCCACACATGGACATGAGGCAGAGCCACAGCCCTACCACGCACACGGGCTAGTCACTGGACACACAGAGCTCGCTCATGGCCACAGAGTAGGCGTGGATTTCCCTCTTTCCTTGTCTCTGTGTGTCTTAGCCTCTGTGCCCCCCCCCCTCTCTTTTAGCCTTAGTTTGTCACAATCTCCCTTTCCAAGCCAGTCTCTGTCCCTCCTACTCAATCTGCTTTATCTCTGGGCCTCCCTCCTTCCTCTTCCGCAGTCTGGCTTCTGACTTTGTCACCCAAGGTATGCACTTCCCGTTGGTTTCCTCGTTCTCAGTCGCCTCTCATCCCGCCACCCCCAGCCTCCCTGGGGACATGGAAGCCTCTCCCCGAACCCGAGAAGCCTTCTTGGAACGGGGGACTTGGGGAATCCCCACGGAAGCCAGTTCCAAAAGGGATGAAAGGGGGTGTTTCAGGCACTGGGAGAAGCCTGTATTCCAGGGCGCCTCCCAGAGCAGGAATCTGGGACCCAGGAGTGCCAGCCTCACCCACCGTATAATTAGACAGAGGGAAAGGGAGGGAGAGAGCCTCGGGGAGGGGTGGGGGAGGGTGGAGAAGCTTCCGGACTCCTTGGGGTTAAAAGGGAATGTCCGGCCAGGGGTCCCTGGACAGAGGATACCAGCAGCGAACCACAGGCAGGGCAGAGGCACGCCTGGGTTCCCTCCCTCCTTCCTGTCGGCGACTCCCAGGTGAAGCGGCCTGCACCCCACCCGGGTGGGGGTGGATTGCGAGAGAATGGGTGGGGACCCCCGGGCCACGGGCAGGAGCCTGCTTGGAGCCTCGGTTTCTCTATCTGCGGGGCGCGGAAGTCCCCCCGCTGAGAGGTTGAGGAAGAGGCTCCCACAGGCTCCGAGCCTCGGATCCCCACCCCGCGCGTGAAGGAGGAAACCGCGGGCGCGGCGTGGCTGCAGCCGGAGAAGCCGGGGCGCCGAGAGCGCTCCCCTCCGCACAGGGAGGACGGGAAGGTGCAGCGAGGGGCATCATTAGGGTAATTGCACTCGTTACCGCCGTTCCAGTCCGAGAATCTCCCGTCTGCCCGTCCCTGCAGGGCAAAAGGGTGCTGGCGGGCTGGGGTGTCTCAGGCTGGGCGCATGGGCACGGTGAGGTGCGGGGTCTCTAAGGGAGTATCTGTTTTAACCTAACCCCCAACACACACACCCCAGCAGATCTGGGCCATGAGACCCCGGCTCCTCCACCTCTCCGCCGCCTCTAGCGCCAGGACACTGGCGAAGCTGCTGCCGCTGCTGATGACACAATTCTGGGGTGAGGCGGGGGCCAGGGGGCGGCGAGAGGCGCGGGCGGGAGGAGAGTGCGCTCCTGTCACCAAGCCCCGCGCACCTCTCCTGCCCCGGGACCCCAGCACCCACTCAGCGCTCCGGGCAGGGCCCGCCCCCAAGTCAGCTGGGCCCTTCTTCTGGCTTGGCCCCTGGGGGTCCTGCCCCACTCAGGCCCCGTCCGATTTCTGCCACCCGGATCCTCGCTTTTTCCGTGGACTCCTCGCCGCGTTCTTTCTCCTCCTCCTTCTCGGCCCCTCCCTTTTACACGACCCTATTTTATCCGAAGTCTTGCCTTACCGCTTTTTGCCCTCTCCCTCGCTTTCTCTCTTTTGCTTTCTCTCTCTCTCTTTTTCTTTCTTCTTTCCTTCCTTCCTTCTCCCTTTCTTTCCTTCTTCCCTTCTTTCCTTCCTTTTCTATTTGAGAGAGGGTCGTGCTCTGTCGCCAAGGCTGGAGTAGAGTGGCCCAATCAGAGCTCACTGCAGCCTCGACCTCCTGGGCTCAAGCTATCCTCAGCCTCCGGCGTAGCTGGGACCACAGGC